CATACTATTGTGGAGAGTCGTGTTCGTCTAACAATAACTTTTAAAAGAAGTGTAATACCATTTGTAATAGTTCAAATCCACCACGAGCAGATATTGTTTGTTTTAGCTCGTTACGTATGTACAGTCTCACAGTTTTAAAACGTTGACGTGAGATTTCACATCAAAGATATTTTTAAAATAAATAGATTTTTTTTTTTTTTGAAAAAGTACCCACATGGGATGACATCCATTCACTTCTTTTCATATTTCAACCTTGAGAGAGAAAGTGAGAGAGAGAGGACGCAAGGGATAAAGCTTGTGAGTTTAAATCCTTAATTAATAATTTAACAAAATAATTAAGTTTTCTCTATTTTGTCTGTTTTCTTCATTATTATTATTATAATAAACCCAACTAAACTAATTACACCCTAATTTAATTATATAATTATTAAATATTATATTAATTATCAATTTAACCTTAAATATTTTACGGATAGACATTTGACTTTAGCCCAATAGATGTCCTCATAATTTAATTATATTCATCCGTTTCAAAACGAATTTCTTTCATCCGCAGTAAAATTTCTTTCCGCTTGAATTTCTCTCAAACATGGAGCCAATTGATTATAAAAATACTTCACGGATCTCCTCAACCTCACGTGGATCCGAATTTTCTCAAGTAAATCCAATTGGTACAGGGAGAATCGTCTGTCTGTCTGTCTGTCGTAAGAGACCATTCCGATAAGTCAATTTCCAAATTTCATTATTTTCGTTACAAATTTCTTGAATTGGACTAGAAAAATAAATATCCAAATGATTTACGTGTTCTAAAAAAATTAAAAAGGAGAATAAAAAAAAAGTCAACCAAATATTTAACACGTGAAAAATGTCAACTTTATGTTTAATATTATTTGAACGGTCAACTTTATGTTTAATATAAATATTTCATATTTTATAGAGATTTTGGCCTCAACCTGCGTCCGACCCCAAAAATTTCATTCTTGTGACAACCTCTCTTATTTGAACAAAATCAGTTAGCAGTCGTTTAGACTCCAAAAAAATTATGAAATTGACAGTGATATGTAATAGGCCAAAGTGACAATATCTATTAGAAGTGGGCTTTGGCTATTACAAAAATTTTAGTGGTGAGAATTCCACGTTGTGGTCTCGGTAAATTATATCGAGAATAATTATTTTTAAAATATTTTTGTAAATTAAAAAAAAAAAGTGTGGTATTGTCGGAGGCCATGTGGTGAAGTAATATAGATTGGATAGTTAAAATAAAAAAAAAAAAAAGGTGAAGATTTCGAGATAAACTTCAAATTTTATCATTTTCTCTTCCTCCCTCTCTCAGATCTATGTCCAGCATTCCTTATATGCGTGTGGAAACTTTTTTCTTCTAGTAGACGCGTTTTAGAACTGCGAGGCTAACAACAATACGTAACGAACGAACCGAAACGAATAATATTTGTTAGGAGTGAGCTTGAGCCATTACAAAACTTTATAATAGTAATTTTCGATTATTTTAAGTAATTTTTAGTCATCATATCCTTAAGATAGTTTCAATTCAGACACACTGACAACTATCCCCACAAACTAACAAGAGTCCTTCCAATAATACATGGTTTGTTTTCACTCATATGCATCTCAGGAAAATTCATAGGAGGTCACTCAACATATAATTGCTTCAAGTAAAACATGTATAATCATTGAGTTTCTATGATTGAGCCATCGAAAAGAAATGTGTATCTTGTTAGTATAAGTAGTAACTTTCATTTCTTTTATGCATTTTTTAGTCATCTTATCCTTAGAATCGCACTCATTCAGACATGGTTTCGATTCATATATGTATCTCTCATTTATTAAAATATCATAATTAAACTAAACTCGAGTTGATTTGTCCTCTCCCAAAAGGGGGTTAAATGTAAGGCTACTAAATGGGTAGAGCTTGACGAAGAGTTTATAACATGAATGTGTCATAGGGATGCATAAATATACTGATATGTACTCAAAATTAGAATTAAAACATTGAAACGCTATCTTTAACTTTATCATTAATATATGGATGAAACTATGTATTGACATCTTATATGCGGGATATTTTTTTAATTTTTCAAAAATATTTAAGGATTTTTTTTAAATTCTTAAAAGTCCATTAATAAAACTTTCGAAAATTTAATAATATTTTTTAAATACTTTTCATTCCAAACTAAAAAGGTAAAAATATATTTTTAATTTTTTTTAAATTTAAAAATATCTTTTAAATATTTTTAAAGTTTAAAGATATTATAAAAATATTTAAAAATTATAAATATTTTTTTTTAAAAAAAGGTGTAAACATTAAATTATTTTTATTAATTTATCTTAAATATTAAAAAAATGAGGGCAAAAAAAAGGAGCCCACTGAATCGTCTGCTATACTTTTTACAACATTTTAATAATTACTCTCTTTTCCAATTTCAGTACGGTAAATATATATATATATATATATATATATATATATATAAAATATTATATATACAACAAAAATGACTCAAAAATAAAAATAAAAATAAAAATGAGATATTATTTTAGTTTATTGTTTTTCATTTTGGATATTATTTTATTATTTTAAAAAATCATATTTATCTCCCGTACACGTGATATTAATAACTAAAATTTCATAAAATTTAAATATTAAATATTTACAAGTCACAATACGTTGTTAATTTCGGTTATAATCTTGTATATTCTTAATTTCTATAATAATATTAAAAGTAGAATAAGATAAAGATGAATTATAATTCTATTTTCGAGTTAGTTGGATCGGTTAAATTGACCGTACAAAAAAATGTCTAACTCATAAATTAATTTCGAATTTTTTATTTTTCAATCAAAAAAAGAAAAGAAAACGAAGGTAGAATTGGAACCACTCGCAGTTAGCAGGCAAGTGAAAGTCACGCAGGAAACTATTGAGAAACAGTTTCAATTTTCCAGAGTGGGGCCCATTGGTGTGGAGATTTTTGAAGTGACCCCTTATTGGTGTGTCGTTTTCAATCGCCTTAAGGAGCGTCGTACTCGCACCTCAAGTCCTTGTCTTTTGTTTATTTATTATTTTTTTTTTCGTCTCTCTCATTAATATTTTTAGAAATTATTTTAAATCATCCTCAACTTTATTTTTTAAAAAAAAAAAATTAGTAGGGTATTTTTTAAGCCATTAGACGTAACACCAAATTCTTAATCACTGTGTGAGAACTCGCATTTATGGGAGAGAGAAACAAAACATTCTTTATATGGATATGGAAACATCTCTACATAACAAGTTAAAACGGATAATATATGCTAATAGTGAGCTTGATAGGAGTGATAATACTTAAACAATTATTGCAAAGTTATGAGTAGTAATACTTTAGTTCATGTAAATAAATTCAAACGATTAAATTGATTTTGAGCGGTTAAAATATGTTTTCAATTAATTTCAACTATTTTAATCTCAATGGTGCCAACGGTGCAATCTATGGTACCGCGAAGGCAGGTTCAACGCTCGTATTTCTAGAGCAAAACAATTCCACTTATCACGCCTCTCTTTTACTGTCGCTCGTATTCACAAACATATCTGTTTCACCGAGCCTCTCTTCGAGAAATCAATGTTTCGACACATGATCTTAGACGAACTTCATCCCCTTTCGGGAAGAACTCACTTTGGGATTGAAAATAGTATAAAAGAGATGGCTTATTAGAAGAGCAAGGTGTGGTTACTATCCTACATGACCACATTACCCATTTATGACGGGATATAAAAAATAATTTAAAATAATTTAAGAATACAAAAACAGTCTTTTTTAAATCACATGATTAACATAAATTATTTTATTAATGGATATTGCTTGCGTGTAAATAACAATTAATATCAATAAATAAAGAAAATAATATAACAAGATATTCCTTTTGTCTTTCTTAGGAACATTATTGAAAATTTTAATTATATTTTCTTTATGAAAAATTTAAGGAAAATCATAATTTTATAATTTTCCCATTATCATAAAACATATTTAGAATTAAAATTGAGCCAAACTTAAATTAAATTTTGAGGTTAGATTTATCATAAGATTTTATTTTATTTTATTTTTCCTTTATTTATTAATTGATTTTTTTTTTAGAAAAAAATATTAGGTCCAGACAAGTCACTATATATTTTTTCCGTGCCCTTGCCCTTGAACGATAGGAGAATTTTTGTAATTATTTTATATAGCGATTGCATTTATAATCAATTAATAGGCCAATAGTAAGACGAGAACGTAACCAAGGCCGAGGATAGGAACTCTACCAATAGAAACCCTTTCATCAACCAATAAGTCACGAGCAGAAACAATAATCAAGGAGCTATCATAAGAATCCCTAAAACATCGTCCCGAGTACAGGTCTATTTTTGTAGTTTTTAAAATAATTTTAGAACTTTTCCCATTTTTTAAAAATTTATAATCTTGAAATTCATCGTTGAGAAATACACATAAAAATAATTAAATTATTTTTGTTATTTTTTTAGTTTTAAAAGTTTGGAAAATAAAATTTTAAAATGATTTAAAAACAAAAAAATAGACCTATTTAAATAAACACATCATTCTAAATTTTTTTTTAGGTCAGCCTTTCGTGTCTAATCCATTATGTTTGAATGAACACAACACTCCAAACTTTTTCATAGCTCGACAGTTCGAGTCTAAACTTTCTTTTATCTCGATCGCTCTCATGTCTTATCCATTATGTTTGAACAAACACATCCGTCTAAACTTTTAGTTCGATAATTTGAGAGAGTTAAAATAAAGAATTTTGAGTTGGGGTAAGGTTGGAAGAAAGAAATGAGAAGGGCCTTGTTCCTGTTGTGTTTGAGATGGCTGATTTTGGGCTCTCTGAAATTAGGGAGAGAGAGAAGAGTATCCCACTACAATGGAGGCACAGAGCAAACCCAAAGGCAAGTAAATGAACAAAAAGGGCCAAAAACAAAACCATTTTAACCCAAAGAACAAAAATATTAAAAGAAGAAGAAGAAGAAGAAGAAGAAGAAGAAAGAGAAAAAGTAGAGAAATGAAGAGAGAGAGAGTGGAGGAGAAGGAGGCGTACGCTTTATTGCCTTTTTTATGATGTACGCATCCATGGCAGAACAGAGAAGCCCACAGACCTCTGCTACAACACAAGCCTAGAACAACAACAACAACAAACAAAACATCCATCTCTCAAGGGATAAGAAGAAGAACAACAAACACAGAGCTATGGAAATGGAAGGTAGAAGGAAGAGGGGGTTGAGGTGGAGGAAGAAGAGGAATTTCAAGAACAATCTCTGAAATGGGTTTTTGATAATGGGATTTTGGGATTCAATGGCATGCAAAGAAAAATGGTGGGTTTCAGATTAAACCCACAAATTTGTAGTTCTTCTCCTGTTTTCAAACCCTTTGGAGTGTTATTGTTCTTGATTTCTTCTTTGGCGGCCTTGTTCTTGCTTCTCTGGGTATGAGGGGGATTTCCTTTCATTTTCAGGGGAAGGGGGACTTGGAAATTTCAGCCGCGTTATCTTCTTCTCCGATTTGCTCTGGTTTTGCAGAAAAGTGGGTTAAAAAGGGGGAAGAACACCAAGAACTCGAAGAACAACAAGAAGGGTTTTCTTATTTTCTTTTACCCAACAACGAACCCACTTCCGTTCTTCATATGAGAAGCCCCAGTCCTCCCACATCGGTTTCCACTCTCTCTTCTTCCTTTGGCGGTGGCGGTGGCGGTGGCGGTGGTTGTGTTCCTTCACTTCCTCCGGAGACCCCTTCTGTTGAGCCGCTCGCCGGAGCTGGTGTTGGGAACGCCATTTTTTCTAGTGGATTGGAAGATTTGGAGAGTATGTGGTCGGAAACTGCCGGCCCTGAACAGTCGTTTCTCCGATGGATCGCCGGGGATGTTGAAGATTCCAGTATGGGGAGTAAAAACCCCTTTGATTTCGATGGCAATGCCGGTATCGGAATTGTCGAACAGGGTTCTGAATTTGGCCGCGGAGCTGGTAATGTTCTTGCTAACATTAATCCTAATTTATCGTTTCCTGTTCCTGCTTGTGGGGGGGCTAATTACAAGAGTTCTAGTTTGGGGATGAACAATCGCCATGGGAATTTGAATCTTCAGAGCCCTATCTTTAATGGGTCTCTTGAAAATGTTGTTGTTCCTGTTTCTGGTTTGATTCAGCCATTTGAGCGCCCTGATGAGAAGCCCCAGAGTTTGAATGCTGCTCAGGTTTTGTTGAACCAGCACCAGCACCAGCACCCTCAGAATCCTAGCTTCTTTGTGCCATTGATGTTTGGTCAACAAGAACAGCAGCTCCAGCCTCAGCTGAAGAGGCATAATTCGAGCGGAGCACTCGACGCGAATCCCAACGGGCCGATACCGATACCGAATGAGATTTTGATGAGGAATCATCAGGTGCAGGTGTTGCAGCAGCAGCAGCTTGGTTATGCACCTGGTTTGCAGTGTCTTCCTCAGCAGAAGGCAATGTCCCCGAAGCCGAAAGTTGTAGGGCTTGGCGACGAAATGGCGTATAACAATCCCCCACAGCAACAGCAACATGCTTTGCTCGACCAGCTCTACAAGGCGGCGGAGCTGGTCGGGACTGGGAACTTCTCACACGCGCAAGGGATATTGGCGCGGCTCAATCACCAGCTCTCACCTGTTGGAAAGCCCCTTCAAAGGGCTGCTTTCTACTTCAAGGAGGCTCTTCAATTGCTCCTCCTTATGAACAACCCGGTTAATCCTCCTCCACCTCGCTGCCCTACACCGGTCGATGTGATCTTCAAGATGGGTGCTTACAAGGTGTTTTCCGAAATCTCCCCACTTGTTCAGTTTGTGAATTTCACCTGCAATCAGGCACTGCTCGAGGCTCTCGACGACGTTGGTCGAATTCACATTGTAGATTTTGATATTGGTTTTGGAGCACAATGGGCTTCTTTTATGCAGGAACTGTCCTTGAGGAACCAGGGTGCATCACTCAAAATTACTGCTTTTGCCTCTCCCTCGACTCATCATCCGATCGAACTCGGGCTAATGCGCGAAAATCTCACTCAATTTGCTAATGACATTGGGATAAGTTTCGAGTTCGATATGATCAACTTCGATTCCTTGAACCAGAACTCCTTTTCGTTGCCATTTTCTCGAGCAAACGAAAACGAGGCTATTGCAGTAAACTTCCCTCTATGTTCGACATCGAATCAACCAGCATTGCTTCCATCTCTCCTCCGTTTCATCAAACAACTCTCACCGAAACTTGTTGTTTCACTTGACCGAGGGTGCGATCGAAGTGACCTCCCATTTCCTCAGCATATGCTTCAGGCACTTCAGTCCTACATTAACCTCCTGGAATCTCTGGATGCTATTAATATGAACTCGGACGCTGTGAACAAGATCGAGAGGTTTCTTTTGCAACCGAGAATCGAAAGCACTGTTCTGGGGCGGCTTCGAGCGCCTGAAAGAATGCCCCTTTGGAAAACACTCTTTGCCTCTGCTGGCTTTACACCAGTAAACTTCAGCAACTTCACTGAAACTCAAGCAGAATGTGTAGCAAAGAGAACTTCTGTGAGGGGATTTCACGTCGAGAAACGCCAGGCTTCCCTAGTTTTATGCTGGCAGCGTCGGGAGCTCATCTCCGCTTCGGCCTGGAGATGTTGAAAGCTCGGGTTCTTATCAACTACTCTTATTATGCCAGAGGTTCAAATTTATCTACTCATATAATTAATCATCAATAACATTGCACTGTTTTGTGGTATCTCTTAACTTTCATTACTTGTCATTCTTGCATCATTTTCTGCTCTTGATTCATAGGTCCAGACAGGCTAGCTTCCTTAGTGTATCTAAAAATCTAACTACAAGCATGTTAGTATATTATTTCTTCTGCTAAAACTGCCATTGTTGCTCTGGTTTCGTTTTCTTCGTTTCGTGTTTTATTGTAATGAAATGCACATTTTCTGGTTATGTTGGTTGTTCTACTTGTTCGAGATGAAGATACAACCGAGTTTGAAAGAAGGGTATAGATAGTGAGTCGTGGTTGTACTAGAAGTGTCCCGTTTCACTGTGTTATGACTAGTTTTTGGAATTTGGCTAAGAATTCAACTTTTTCCTTAAGAAAGAGGAAGACAAGCCCACCGCTAGCAGATATTGTTCGCTTTGGGCTTTCCCTTTCGAGCTTCCTCTTAAGGTTTTTAAAACGCGTCTACTAAGGATAGGTTTTCACACCCTTATAAAGAATGTTTCCTTCTCCTCTCCAACCAATGTGGGATCTCACAATTGTAAAGAACTTGTGAGAAACCGGCACACTCCACAAAAACTCGAAACGAAATGGCTACCAAACCGAACCTTAGTGGTGTGCACTGTCTGTTTCTCTTTAGCTCTTTGATGATGTAAAGGTGTATTTAGAACTCAGCTGGATATCAAAGCCATTAGAGTCTCAGAATATAGTGATTTTATACTTTCATGCTTTCTCTTTTGGGATAACTTGCATACCAGAGGTCTCATTAACTTATGCTAAGCTCATAGCCCACTCCCATTGACGAGTCTTTGCCCGTCCCATGTCTAGTTACGAGAGACAACAAACCACTTGGAGGCTTGAACCTAGGATCTTCGAGTATATCTCCATACATCTCGAGTCCTTATCACCCTTATTATCTTGAGTTCTTGTAACAGCTCTAGTCCACCATTAGCAGATATTGTCCTCCTTGAGCTTTCCCTTTCGGTTTCCCCCTCAAAGTTTTTAAAACGCGTACGTTAGGGAGAGATTTCCAAACTCTTATAAAGAATGTTTCGATCTCACCGTTCTAGCTTAAACTTAGAATGTAGAATGTCCTTCGAACTCAAAATATGCACACGGGCCATTCCCTAACTCGTTGCTTAGTTTAGTTCTCAGCCCCGATGTCATCGCTATGAAGACAGAGAATCTGAGCTTTTTATTCACTAACCTTCATGTATCTTTTACCAAGAAGGATATTTCTTTGGATGCTCTGCATATCTTGTAGCTAGATTTTGCTAATAGTGTAGCGAGTTTTCGATGGACATGCGCAGACAGTTTCTACTGTCATATCAATGCAGTTGGGGGAATGAATCTTATACAAAACTCGAACCCGAATATTTTGCTGCTGTTTGGATCCAATTATCCTTATTGTTATGGTTGGACAAGACCCGAAAAGCTGATAAAACTATAGTTCTTATGTTCGTTGATACGAGTGATTCATTCACATTGCTAATTAAGTATTACACTGCCATCACCTCCTGTCTTTGGTTCTTATAATTCAGTTTGAATGGCTTATAAATTACAATGATTCTCTCAAAATGCTTGTCTTTTTGCATATTGAATATCAAATTTGTGTGTATGGTTGTGGGAACAGGTACTGATGAAGAAGCCACATGGGTGAGTGAATTGTTTACTCATATGTTCTTAGGTATGCCATTTTGGAGGCTTCCAAACATGGCCTAATTCTTAAAGCTTGAGGGGCAGTTCTTAGCAATGAGATTATATTATAATGAGTATCAATAAACAAACAAACAACTTTATTATTGAAGGGAACATGCTATGTTTGGACAGTCACAAAGATTAATTACTCGTATTATAATGCCCCGATTTGTTAGATTTCTATACTGTAATTATAATTTCTATATGGGTTCGGTCTGGTTCGTAACGTCCTTGTTGTTATGGTTAGTAGTTTGTAATACCCACGACAAGGATTAAACTAAAACAAGCATAGTTTAGTGATTATCGTTGAATTCTTCATCTTGCAAATATTAAGTTTTTCAATTATTCATTGGACGATATTAAATAACCAATATCAATTAATAGGAATTGGCTCTCGAGTGCAATGATGAAAGGGAGATTGATTACAAGATCTACTCGTTGAGCATGACTTGCACCGACTTTTTGCTAGGTAGAATTTAATTGGCTAGATGGGAATTGGCTCTTGCAACGGAAGAAGGGAGCTTGATAGTAAGATCCACTCTTTGAGCATCACATCACCGACACTGGATTTTTTGCTAGGAATAATTTGTTTGGCCAGACGAAGATTAGCTCTCGAGTGCAATGAAAGAAGGGAACTTGACTATAAGATCCACTTGTCAAGCATGAATTGCACTAAGCTTTTTGTTAGATAAAATTCGATCCGCCATACAAAAATTGGCTATCGAGTGCAATGGCAGAAGGGAGAGCTTGACTGCAAGATCCACTCGTCGAGCGTGACCTGCACCACCGGGCTCGTCTCATTTGTATTATTATAAAAAAAAAAAAGGGGTGTGATACAATAATGGTGGGGGAGAAATGTGGATGATGAAAATTATTGGAATTGGATGATAAATCTGACACCCAAAATGAACGGTTGTGATTTGTTTTGATTATTTATTTACTTATTTTTTTATATAATTGTGGAAATTATTTTATTATGTATAATATATATATTTATGATGGCATGAAAAGTACATAGATCTGCACAATAGAGTTGCTTTCATGAACCATTTATGATTGAGTTTCTTGGGGGAAGGAATTGACAAAGAGTTATGAAAATCACTTTTTTTTTTTTTTTTTTTTTTTTTTTTTTTTTTTTTTTTTTTTTTTTTTTTTTTTTTTTTTTTTTTTTTTTT